AAAGTAGCATAGTCGCATCATGCTGCTGTAAATAGTTGTTAGTAGTGCGATGGCTTTTCGTGGGATATTCTTTAGTAGAGCGCCTGTTATTAGATCATATCCGGGTGCCTTATGAGGGTTGAGCAGGTTTATTAAACTGCTGAAATCTGTTGGTGAAAAGGCTCTTATCGGTAGCGATAGCTGACAGGGAGAGTTTAGGAAGGTTTCGACTTCGTCCTTCGTGTTGTTATTGTTATTGTTGTTATTTTCGTTGTTTGGTGTAAAGACTGTTGCAAGGTGCTCAGCGAATAAATTTGTTTTCCTTTTATTTGTCCGTGGCCAGCTTCTGTCTTGTTTTCTAATCGGTGGTATTGCATGTGTTGGTCTTTTAAATTTCTTTGTTCACAGTGTGTGGTCGTCTGGTGATAAGTTTGTAATATAAGTTTTGAACATTTCGTTTTTGGCTTGTTTTATGGCTGATTGTAGATTGTGTGTTAGCTTGTTGAGTTCTGTTTTGTCTAGTGGGTTTCTGCTATTTTGCCACCTGCGTCTTGCTTGCCGTTTTGTGTAGACTAATTCCCTGATGTGTAGTGGAACGTTATGAGCTTCCTGAGTTGTCTTTCTCCTTTCTGGTGTGTATACCCATGCAACTGTTTATATTAGTTTGGTTATGTAGTCCACTGCGTCCTCAAGATCTTGGTTTTCTTTTAGTCGGAGATTTAGGGCAATGTTATCTTGATGTAACCTTGGAATTGTGCCAAATTGGTATTTCTATTACAAAGCTGTGGTGGCGGTTCCTTCCAGATTACGTGATTACTTAGTGTTATTATGATCGGACTGTGGTCTGATGACATGTCTAGGTTAGTTTCTATAGAGCTGTGAATGCCGGAAAGGCCTTTTGTGATTGCAAACTCTAATAGGTCCGGTGTTTTATTTAAATCAGTATGCCAATATGTTGGCTCTCCTGTTGATATGTAGTTCAGGTTGTTTTGTTGTATAACATTCAACAGATTACTACCCTTAGGTGTGATCAGTCTGGAGCCCCTTGCAGTGTGCTTGGCGTTCCAGTCGCCGGCCACTAGTTAG